AAAAAAAAAATCCAGACAGGTTGCTTTTGTTACCTGTGTTAGTTTTCATTTGCAGGTCTAAGATTCCTAATTATTGTTAGTTTTATATGTATAATGTTTATGCTGGAAGCTTCTTGTGTCCATGATGTTGGTTTCACAGTTGCTGCAGGCTTATTGCACTAGCACAAGTTAGTAATACCTCACAAACCAGCTTTTCTCAGGAGAAATATATATAAGTACCAGAACCAGTTATAATTATTATTTTTTATTATCTAAGCACCTCAGGTGGAAAATGCTTATAAAAACCTCGTACAGTAAAAAGAACAGGAAATTAGTCAGCTCTTTCTATTCAGTAATGTCTACAATATGGGGCATTAGCGTACAGTAAGCAGAAATAACAGATTACAGCAATTTTAAGCTCTCTCTCTCTCTCTCCCCTACCCCTACCCACCCCACCTCCAAAGCAGACTTGTTTTAATTGTCTCTTAAGTGTTGATCTACCTCAATCCTTTTAACAAAACCTCATCTTGGGGAAATTAATCCAAGTCTGCAAAAATGCTTTTATGCCTACCTCTGAACCCCCCCCCCCCCCAATCCCCCTTAAGAGTCAAAGTAAAGTTAAAGCTGGATGTTTTCACTTTTGAAAACAGTGGAAGTGGACATACTTTTCTATTTCATTTCTCACATTCTTCAAGCACGGTGATTTATTTTTGACCATGATGTGTGTTTCAAGTAGTAAATGCCTAGTAGTTCTTCATGTGTAGAAGTTATGTGGAAAAGGCATTAATACACGTGGTCTCACACATTTCATATTTCTATTAAGGTACACAAAAAAAGGTTGGCCCAAATAGGATTGGTAGCTTGATTATTAAAGACGGTGTCATTATCCTAGACCTCAGTTATCAGATTTGCACAATCAACATCAGGGACGTTCTGTAAAAAGTGATGAACTAATTTTAAGATGGTAAGCTTCAGTTTACTAGAGTAAGATTCAGCAGGCTGTGAGGCTAGGTAAAATACATAACCATCAAGTCTTAAAATGTGTCCGCTTGATTTCCAGCTTGTCAATTTCAAGGGAAAAATAACGATTGGTTGTTATTTGAAGAAATTAAAAACAAGTGCAAAGCAGTGGAGATAAGGATAATGGTCAGAAACCAACATCTTGGGACATGCCTACTTCTGTTTTGGTTGCATTTATGAATATATATCAATGTCAAATACTGTACGATTGGAAAAATCAACTTGTAATTATGTACATAAATGTTTAGCTGCATGTAACAGGAGAATTGGACCTATAATTGAGATTTTAAATGCAGGTGATCTTTCTTTATTCAATTCTCAATTGATCGTAGTTTTACCTTCACCTTTGAATTTAAAAATCAGTGGTTTTAATATTGAATAGATTTTTCACGAGGAAATTAAAATTTTTATGGGGGGAAATATTTAGTTTTAGATCATAATGGGGGAAATTTTGGATGAACTGACGCAGTTCTAATGGGAAGATTAAATATTGAATTTTTTTACATTTTAGTATTGATGATGCCACATAACTTTAAAATTTACATGATTTTAAAGCCATTTTCTTGTCTGCTTTTGTATCAGGTCATAGTCTTATCTTTGTAGTCAATGATATAACGTATTTAAGTTTCATGTAGAGCCTCTGTTTGGGAGTATTTGTGTGTTTTTGTGTGATATTTTCTCTTAGTGGATCAAACAGACATTTTACACTATGTAACAGCTGAATATATAACGCAAATTGTCAAACAGATTTGAACTTCGAAATGTTACTAAGCATGACAATATTGCATGCAGTTGGAGTGAAATGTCGCAAGGCAGTAATATTAATTTACAACGGGGGAAGAGACAAATCGTGTTACCATAACACTTTGCCGAAATATACATATTACAGAGACCTTCTGCCAACCATATCTATTTAGCAAACGTGAGAAGCCTTAGATTAAGAAAATTATGAAGAGAAACTGGCCTGCTGGAAGGCAAGGTCCAGACAGGTGGATGCAATTTCTGCTGATTGTTAATTATGTATTATAGACCCTAACTCAGGAGATGACAAACAGCAGCAACTGCACCACAAATACAATGTGTACATGCAGGAGCGGACGTTTAAAATTAATTTAAAGATTGAATGGCTCTTTTAAATAAGTTATGTTTTAATCGGGTTGTCTGTATACCAATATAGTATCAAAATGTATCAATTGTATCTTGTGTATAAGTGATGAATACATGTGAATTAGAGACAATAAAATACTTGTAAAAAAATTGGATTTGTTGTTAAAAGCTTTTTTTATATTTAGAAAATGATATTCAATTTAAATAGCAAAGTGCCATGTAATGTCCACAAGTTCTCAAAAAGAGATCCAAATTTCTTCTGCCTGCTGAACCATGCCAAAACATTGGTAACAATATTTAGACCTAAAGTGCTCATCATATCGACAAAGTTACACCACTGATTCTTCAACAGCCGACTCATTTCTTGGAAATATCCCTGGCCACTGATAAATAGTTCAATTTTTTTAGTAAAATTAATAATCCATGTCTTACACCTACTTTCAAATCGCATTCTTTGCATTCCAACTAAAAAAGGAGAAGCATAAAGGCTAAAAATAAGAAGGATGAATTATTGAAATTTCACAATTGTTACAAAGAGCAACTCATATTTTATGAGGGACTTGTAAAATATGTGTAAATGTTACAAAAGAAGTGGATTTGCTTTCCGGTTAATTACCCATCTACTATACGATCTCTTTGTTTTTGACTGTAGCTAATAGGTAACAACAACTAACTTCAATTTTAAAGATGTCTTTTAATGAAACAAACAAAAATGTTGATGATATATATACATATTAATGATTTCATGTCGGTGAAAAGAAATTTTCTAAAAATTCAAATATGACAAAAAAAAATTATCCTCTTACCACTCATCACTAATAAATTAGTAAAAATAAACAATCTACATATTTGACATCCGGTCCTCTTATTTCATATTAGTCACAAAAGTATAACTTAATTAAAATGTTCTGTAAAGAATTGATGTTTAATAGCCTCTTTAGCTGTTATTCTAGTGGCCGGATTCAAGTCCAACAGTCTTTTCAATAAATCATATGCAGTGTCGGGAATTCCAATTCTTCCACCATTTTCCTTATCAGAACTGCTGGGAGGGGATTTCTTTCCATGACCTTTGCCTCGTTTTGGTGCAGCCTGCAGCTTTTCACAAACCACCTGTAGATCTAGCGGTTTCACCACAGGGCAACAAGTCAGTTCTTTCCCTGGGGAGAAAGAGAGGTCAGTAAAGAAATACATAAAACATAACATTATCAAATGAGAATTTTTCATTGTTATATCTGACATGACCAGACCAGATAGGAAATGGGCTAAACATTTGAAACAGATAAAATAAACAATATAATTTAAACAAGGGGGTTGAACTCCCAAGACAGGTGTATATTAAAAGACTTGGCTTTCTTCATCCCAAATGCTCCCATGAAACATAGCATAGGCCCTGAGCTTACTTATGCACCAATAAATTAATAGTGCATGTTGACAAATTCATCAAATCTGGGGATAAGATGTCAGTCTCACACTAAAATATAACTCTTTGGCTTAAAATTGTAAAATATTACATCCATTTTTGACAAATCCTTATTTGTCCTGCTCAAACTGCCACTTCAAATAATTCTGGACCCTCCGCTGGTTCTAGACAGTAAGTCCACTCACCATAAGTTCTTGCGGACATCTTCACCTCCATCGTCCCCATGAGGCTGATTAACTGTGCCAGGGACACCATGTCATCTGATGCCTTGAAGAAGGGGTAGCGTCCACTCAGGATGGATAAAAAGATGATCCCTGCTGACCAGATGTCCACAGCTGTTAAAAAGTAAATAATTCTTTTGTCAATAT